AAAACACACACACATTAAGACCCCAACTTTGTATATCATAACTTAATTTCCTCCTTGCGGGTATACAAAGCGTCGTAAATTTGTAGTGAGTGATGGCCGGTAATGAATGAGGCAAGCTCCTGTTTGCAATTGGGCTGACGCCTTTATCAGTCATTGAGGCGAGATAATATGTGGTTAGAAAGAGGTTGAGGACTCAGAAGATAATGGTAAGTGCTGCATGATTGAGAAGTCGTCAAACGGAGATTCAGTAAGGCCCCTATTAAGACGATGTAGTCGGGGCCATGAAGAATATCGTCATATAGAGGATATTGCTGTAAAGGATATGATTATCTAATCCAGCTATCTAGGCTACTTTTTACCTTTAATGCCTCTTTTATACTCCCAATTTCCGTCTTTAATCGCTCTAATACTCTCAAGGTCAGGCCAGTTTCCAGCTCCTGTCGTAGCGCAGTAGTACTTGTAGCTTTGTTGAGTTTCGCAAAGGTATTGCTCAAGGACTCGGACACTGTGTCCTGGCTTAATCGATGGCTTTACTCAGCAAAGAACCACTCATGCACTGTTTTTGTGTTGGTTTTGGGACCTGGCGGTGCGCCCATTGTCGCAGAGCACGTCGTTGCTATACAGAAATTCCCTTTTTTTGACGGGATTGTTAGCACCAATCAAACCAAAAAAAAAACCTGGTTAAGACGATATTCAGAGGTTGAAGAACGATAATCGAGTAATCGGTGAATGTATGGCAACGAAGTCCGTTCCGAAAAATATACTGTATAAACGGCAATATCGGCTTAATAGGGGTCTTACTTTTTTTTAATTCATTTTGTATGCGGCTATTTAGCTATGACAAATTATCTAACATTAACACAAAGTAATTAAACTTCCCTAAATAATATTTCCCATCTTTGCTGTTCCATATATCTGCCCAATGGTTTTTGTTCCATTTATTCTCCCTTGCATACACTGATACACCTGGATGATTTTAAAAATTCTAGTAATACCTCCTTCCCCCTTTTTGTTCAGGGGTCTTACCTTTTTTTTTAAATCATTTAACGTGTATTTAGCTATAAAGCTATGACACATGACCGGTGCTATATATACATATTGGATGACTCTTTTGACGTTAGAGACACTCAAGCTCTGGATTTCATTCGCAAATACCACTACGAGGTATGTTCGCTTACACAAACAGTCAACCCTCCTCCGTTAGTACCCACCAAAGGGAATTTCGAAACCTTTGGTCATCCAATCATGCATTCGTCATCCATGCATACCAGCGTCGCGAGAAATGTGGTCGTGTTTTGCCGTATTCGAACCAGCAATCTCCTGTCTCAAGTGGGACATGTGTCCAAGCTATTCAGACTCTACTTGGCAGTCTAGCCAAGACGATGTACCACCGCACCATCCAACCATGGCGGTGTTTATAGTGTCGCCTGCACTCCAGGGGTCTTACTGTACTGCTATAGGAAGCTTGTGATGTAGATACCACTCGGTTGTTCCGACACTGATATTGTGTCATAGCTAGATAGCTGCATATGCAATTAAAATCTGATGCAAAATCAAAAATTTTACAGCAAGGCTGAATGGTGAACAGGAGGTTTAAGGTCAACTTAATGATTCTTATAGCTGCTCATTACAGCAGGTAGGCTAAGGTGTATTGTTCTATACTTCATCTTAGATATGGTGGTATTATTTTAAGTTTTGCGTTTCTGGATTCTATGAAAAAATGCTGAAGCCAGCAGAGAGTCTTGCGTAGATCTGGACTACCCATGCCATATGCTCAGGGTGCTGGGGTAGTACCCGATGATGATAAAAAGAATCATCATCATGAATACCTGTAGGACCAGAATTGTGGTGGACAAATATGGGAGGCTGATCTTGAGGGTGGAATTGAGAAAAGATCAGGACAGGCGGGCATGATAATTCAAACGGTGTATACAATCTTGAAGGGGACGAGAGCTGGAATATTGAAAACGAGTTTTACAATTTGAAGTCGTGCGCTACACGTTTTTGAATGCGAGACTTCAGCAAACACCAAACCCACGGCCATTATTGGATGGTGCAGTGGTACATCATCTAGGTCGGTCTCCAAGGTAGATTCTGGATAGCTTAGACGCACATCCCACTCAAGACATGACATCGCTGGTTCGAAACCGGTTTAACACAACCACATCACTCACTGCGCTGGTATGCATGGATCACGAAGGCATGTTTGGATAACTAAAGGTTTCGAAATTCCCTTTGGTGGGTACTTACGGAGGATGTTCGACTGTTTATTTAAGCAACTACACCCTACGGTGGAATTTGTAAGTGAACCCCAGAGTATGAGTGTCTCTAATTGTCGAATAGGAAACCCGAAATACACGTATAGCACCGTTCATGTGTCATAGCTAGATAGCTCAATATACATTAAATGATTCCAAAAGATAACAAAAGAAGTGTGGGCCAGCCCAACCAATTTAAACTAGCCAACGTACCAGCGCTTTCAACCAAATTGTTCGGCCTACATATTTCTATATAGTCATAGACTCAGTAGGACAATAAACACAAAATAAAGGAGAAAAATATGTTAACTAAGCTCAACTTGTATTAAATGGGCCAAGGCCAATCTGCCATGCACCTCCAACTATCAAAAGATATCGATAGTCCTCTGCTACTAAGACCCTGGTTTTTCAGTACGTTGCAAAAGATATTTATTTATATGAGGGGGTGAATTATCCGTCATACAAACCAATAGTTATCAAAATAAGCTCTAGCAAGCTCCGGTCAAGGTTGAAGTGCAAACTAGTGCCCTCGCTAGATTGCTTCGATAAATCAGGTATCAAGCCATGTACTATGGATTACCGACCCTCTGGAAAGCCTAGAATCCAAGGATTTCCTGACATTAAATGTTAAATCTCGCCGCGAAGACGAGACCGATCCGACCTAGTCGACAAAGTGAGTAATAATGAAGCTCTTATTTACCCACGGACACCAGTAATTATATATTTTTTTCATTTTTTTCCTATTTGACGTCGTGCCCGCGCGCAGCACGATCACGTGTCGGTTGGCTGAGCCTTTTTTTTTAAATCATTTAATGTGTTTGCCGCTGTCTAGCTATGACACATGACCGGTGCTATATATACATATTGGATGACTCTTTTGACATTAGAGACACTCATACTCTGGATTTCATTTGAAAATACCACTATGAGGTATGTTTGCTTACACAAACAGTCAACCCTCCTCCGTAAGTACCCACCAACGGGACACTCAAAACCTTTGGTTATCCAAGCATGCCTTAGTCATCCATGTACACCAGCCCCGCGAGAAATGTGGTCGTGTTTTGCCGGATTCGAACCAGCAATCTCCTGTCTCAAGAGGGATATGTGTTCAAGCTATCCAGACTCTACTTGGCAGACCGGCCAAGACGATGTGCTACCGCACCATCCAACCATGGCGGTGTTCATAGTGTCGCCTTTACTATCGCAACCGATGCTTTGGCACGCACAAAGCTCAATTTGTAAAAACTCCTTGTCAAAATTGAAAGTTCCACGCCCGTCGAGAATGGATACATTCTCTGCATCATTTTATCAACTTGTCCTAATCCCTCTCACGTCCATCCTATAGAACTGCCTCCCAGATTTGTGCGCCACGCTTTCCTTCCTGCGTCGGCTATAAATATCGGCGTGGGCGTGTAGTTGACGACCAGCTGAGGCTAGACAAAGTCGACAAGAGGTGTGATCATTGGAATGAGGATGTACTTGGTCGTACTTGTAGACTTGATGAGACTTACGTAGGAGTCAAACTCGTCGGGAGCGAAAAAACAACGTGATGGAGTAGTTTGAATCATTACCTCGTGGGCCAACTTCTTTGGTACTGCGAAATTTGACTGAACCTGACTCTGGGAGACTATTTCACTCCCAGGTTCGTAGAGGACACCGCGTACAGGTGTTCAGTCTTGCCCTCCAGGTTCAGCCCAGGAAAAAGCTACCCGACGTGCTGGCGCTCTTGGGAGCTTAGCAGTTTATATGAAGCCTAGAACTTACTACCTAACGCTTTACTTTACAATTATGTTACAGATAATCTAGCTCTTCCCCTTAGTCACTTTAGGGTTGTCTAGTAGAGAATAAATATCTACATGATTGACGAGGGAAAAATCATTGTAGACCGGGATAGTTTATGTTAGAGTGGGGGATGCTGCTGTAGGACATCTCAGCAGTTGCAGTTGCAGTTACAAGTATGTTGTTTAGTGGAGTTTTTGAATCTCTTTGAAAATTAGAGTTCTATTTCCCCACTTCCCGAAGGCAATTGCGCCATTCTTCGAGCTTAGAATCGAAGGGATACCTGTGGGATGGTATCGGGTCCACCGAGTCGGGCCCGGTGACGGCCGAGCTGGCAATAAAGGAAGTGAAGCGGAGACCTTTTTCCACTGTTGGCAGCTAATGGGATAGGAAGAATCTTACTCAGCCCGTCCTAGTCACATGTCATCAGCCCAACCATTTAATATGCTTTACCCTGGAAGCGAAGCCTCATGCTCAGGATTTGCGGGGTAATCACGACGTAGGCTCATGACATGAGCTTTGAAAGGGGGCGGATTAATAACACTTTCATATATTACTCCTTCACTAGTCATCTTCTAAAAGCCGTTATCACTGTTCCCCTAGGTCCTGAATCAGGCCACCATACGGGACAAATACGGCCGGCGCGCAAGGTCATGCATGCCAAACTCCAACGCCACCTGAGGACCACCACGGCCAAACTTACTGCTAAAAATTGCCCCCCACCTAACCCGAACAGCTGCTGCTAAGGATGTCCGAAAACCCACCTCCCAAAGCGCCAAGATAATTCGAGCAATCTCACGTTGGCACATATAGCGCATATAGCGTAGCCAGACTTGGGTATCGAAAAGGATCATATAATATGCTCAACACCTAAAATGCCAAAATCAAAAGAAATCCAACCCAGTGGAGGTGGTTGGCCTGAAGTTGATGAAAGCGAACCCCGGCGTCGGATGTTTCGCATAATTAGGATTGGGTGAGGATGATTCCAAAGAAACTGTCGAGCCCCCGCAAATAAAACCATTCGCCCCAGACCTGCCAGTGCAGGACGCCCAAATGTGCAATTCTCGTGGCAATCTCCAGGACATCTTCCTTGTGGCTTGCGGGGGCGGCTACTCGAGGCTGTGGTCTTGGTGCTGTTGCTGCCTCAAATATTTGAAACGTCGATTTGGGGGTGTAGACCTCCACCAACTGGTGGATGAGAGGTAGCATATTTATTATGATACTCTGCTCCAAGCTTTGAAAAATACGCGATCGGCTTTCCGAGAGATGAAAGGCCAAGTGTTTCTCAAACTGTTGGAGGTGTGTAAGAGGTGTAGGAGTGGAGCGTAAAATCTGAAGAGCTAGGTCGGCCGACATCAAGGACCATTTCTGCTTGGGAGAGAGGGTTGCTGGAGCAGAGGCTAGAATGGCAACGAGAGCCGAGCGGAGTGACGCCGTGGCTTTGGCGGAGGAAATCGAGCTAGCTTCCGTTGAGTTGTAGGGAGGGGTTTCGGGACGAGAACAATTCGGTGCAGAGGAAGTGACTTCGGGTGAGCATGAGGCCTCAGAGAGACGTGGGACAAATGTTTGCATACCGCCATAATCTCGCTCGAAGCGACCAACAGTCCGATTACGACGGCGCTTACACGAGGTAAAGTCGTCTGGTGCAGGGAGCGTAGCGGAGGATAAACGGCAGGGAGAGGCGGGAGAGTTAGGCCGTGGGCGGGGCGATGGGGCTCCCGAAGGGCCTGGGCTATCTTCTAGATCGGCGAGGAGATCGGATTGGGCACTCGAGGCCTGGAGACTATGATAATGAAACATACACACTTCGAGATTTACTAGGTCCAGGAGATCGGCTCGTAACTTCATTAGACGCTCCTCGTCAAAGAGAAAGGTATGTGGGATTGACTGGTTTTCTTTGCTAGGCATTGTCAAGTTGACAAGTGCCTTGAAAAAAGGCCAGGAGCTTCCATGAGGATGGCGGGAAGGATCAATGGGAACGAGGTCGGGAATGCTTTCGGCGCGCCGATACCATGCATAAGCGCCAACGACATCGAGACGGCCCAACTTAATTTTACGGGTGAAAAATCGCTGCTCAAATTCCACTGTATTATCTATAAGTGCTGGTCGTAAACAGCGGATTTGATGGTTCGCAATATCCTATGGGCGTGTTTAGTTAGAAAAGAGCATTAAATAAGACAAAAAATTTTGCATGGGAGTAATTTAAACCTACGAGTTTCATAGCTTCCAGCACGGCCAGCAAGCTTTTGATGCCGACGACGAGCAGAGGCACATCAAAGTTCCGATCTCCATCGCTTAGTTGTAAAACCATATCATCGACCCAATTATCTCGCATAGGTGCACAGTGGCTCTTGAGAAGTTGAGATAGCCAGCGAGCTAGTTTTGGCATGTCTGCAACGCCCTTGCGGAATTGCTGCATGAGCAAGTCGACATTAAAGGTTTCTTCTATTGACGCACAGTCTTGCGGAGGAATAAGGGTTTCTAGGATAGCACGAATAGCTTTTAGAGTGACGGGGAGACACCATTCAACGCCAGTGTGATCACGATCAAACTGATCGCGATTTGACAGGAACTCGTGAAGATTCTTCTGCATGGTTTCCCAAAACTCGTTGCCTTTTTGAGCTTTTCGGCGGCCTTTGTCGCCGTCTAAATTAGGGCGAAAATGGAGGTCTGGGTCAAAGTTTATGTCATGTCGCAATTTTGGGTTGTTGATGATTTTAGTGACGTCTAATTCACTAAGGGTAGCTTTGGTCACGGGAGGTTCGAGAGTAGGCGCTTTTTCTTTGGCACTCGCACGTTTACTTCGTTCGGGGGATCCGGGGAAAATTGGCTGGCTGCGTGGGTGAGGGTTTCCGATAATCTTGTCTCGGTGTGCTCCCGATACGTAAGTTTGGTCTTCGATACAGCGTTCAATGGTAGACTGTCGTGTATGCTCATTTCCAGGGGGCGATGGGCCTACGTTAGGGGACTCTGATGATTCGGATGGATTTGGATGTGCACTGGGAGTAGATGTGGTGGTAGTACTAGTGGTGGTGGTGGTCGCAGTAATGCTGTTGCCGCGCTGACGCTTGTTGGCATCTGACTCCATGGTAGCTCTAATATCAGGAGAGTTAAAAAGTAACTCCTTGAGCACGCACAGGGGAGGGGTGCTATGAGCACTTCTATGAGATTGTCAGCTTAGGATTCTTCTATATCTATAGTAATGGGCCACAGGATATCATAAACGTATAGAGCTACGAGTACTAACTTGGCCATATTTGATTTATGGCAGGTGGACCGTCATGTAGCAATATGTATGATGTTGTGGGAAGAGAAAGGACATACCTTGCCTCTTGTACCGCGACCGGTAGCTTCTGTATGGGAATAGCTTAGTGTAATATTTCCTATGAGATATCCGTTGATGTTGTTATTGTTGTCGTTGTTATTGTTGCTATTGTCGTCGTCGTAGTCTCAGTTGGAAGAAGCGTAGTGGGTGGGTGGGGCGACGGGTCGGAGGAGAGGGAGGACGAGAAGAGAGCAGCCCGAGTGATCGGGTTGTGGAGGAGTACGAGGTGATTGTGGTGATGGAGGTGATATTGGTGGGCTAGGATGGCGGCGGGAGACGAGGGAACTGGAGCGATAAGAATGGCAGGTGTGGCGGTGGTGATGATGGGGACGCGAGGTTGAAGTGCAGCGGCGCCGAGATGAAGGATTATTTGAATCGACTAGGTCGAGACGGCCAGACAGGGAGAGGAGCGAGTAAGTAGAAGGAGATGGCCGGCGACAAATGCCAGCACGAGCCCTGGTCTCGATGAATCTCTCACTCACACACTCAATCGTTCTCGGCGTTGCTCGGAATGGCGGGATGGACGAAGAGAAGGGTGGTGAAATGATTCAGAGTGAGTCACGAATCACACCCTCACACGCCCTGGCCGAACAGAGGGGCGCGGCGGGCGGGGAGGCAGCAGACGACAAAGGGGCAGTCTCAGCAGTAGGAGGAGCAGTAGCAAAGCAGTAACAGCAGCAGCGGCAGCGGCAAATGTTGGTGAAGCAGAGGGACAGGGCAGCGAAATCGGGTGAAAGGAGGAGTTGGAACAGCTGACCATATATACAGAGCATAGCGACGTCGGGGGGAAGGCAGCATTAGCCAAGCGCTGTGGTTGTCGCAGCGAGTTCTGGGGCGGCCAAAGGTTTGTCTGACGCGCCAGACTTGACCGACCAGCCCCAAGTCACCCGTCATGGAGCTCTGGTAGGCGAGGGGCTGGGACGAGAAGGGCGCCGCGGCTGCTGTCCCTTGCATCAGCAACAGGAACATTAACTACAATAACATTAACAGCATCAGCATCAGCATTAGCATCAGCTAAACCTCCCCCACCCCTAGGACGTCTCTGCGGTTCTACCTAGTCCAGCCATCCCTTCCCTCGCCGCCAGATCGTCACACTCTCGACGCCATCTGCGCGCCAGCAGACCTTTGCCACCGGCCCCCCCGCGCCCGACTTCCACTGCCACAAAAAGGGGCAGGCGACGGTGCCCTTCACAGCCAGGCCGCTTCTGGCTTAGCCAGCCCAGCGAACAGGCCTGATCAGGTACTGCTCCGTGCCATCACCCGACACCCGCGACCTCTCTTTCTCACGCCAGCGTTGGTGGCGGCCCTTTGACTCAAGAACCCCTCACATCCCTCCACCCATTGCTGACCCTTTCACGCGTCCATCTTCGCTTCGTTTCGTCCGTTGACTCGCAGAGATCTTCTTCTTCTTCTTTCCTCCCTCCCGAACTGATGCACTCTTGTAACTAACTCACTGCTGCCGCCGCCGCTTATCCTCGTGTCGATGTACAGCGTCTCGGAAACACCCCTCGCCCCTCTAATTATATCCCTCGCCAGATCCGGATCTAGCTTGATATAGACACGCCTCGCTCTTCCCCATCATACACTCCCTGACCACCACGCCTATGCCATCTTGACCCCAATCCTGCTGTCGCTCACGGTCAATTGGATCTCAGCCATCGTCCATCGACGGTGCGCGCGAGCCACTACCGAATCCTTTAACGACGGTTTGCGCCATAGACCTCCCTTCCACCATCAAGCCCAATTTTAGATCCGCTTTGGGGTCTGATCAAACAAGCTCGTTTCCCTTCGCCGCCGCAACTTCAGCCGTGTATCAAAGATGCAGCTATTTGTCCGGAAAAGACAATCGTTCACCCGCAACCATCCATTGCCATTGGTAAACCGGGCTTGTCATAGATTTCGACTTCGTACATACGTTTTTGACACTCCAAGATGACTACCCACCTATCTTGGCATAGCCGGCATCATTCCTGACTCAGGTGTGTTTCAACCAAGCTAAGCGTCGTCTCCATCGCGCCTGGCCCTCACCACATCTCGATCACTGGTAGACAGCCTATGGCCAGGCCCACGTTTGTTCCTGCCGACCATAAGAGTGGGTTATGAAGAAGAAGATTAACTTAAGAAGTGAAAAACACATAGAAAAGGAAATTTGTAAACAGAAAAATTGGCTGAAGAGTCATACCAGCCTTGATCAATGGATATGAAAGTGATAGGGATTTATGCATTAATTCTAAAAGAATTAGTAGATGTTGTGCGTCGCTTTTGGAGAGTGTACTATCAGCGCATGTTTATGAAGCCATAAACTTCTAAACCTACAAACCAGGTTCGTCTCGGCCATTTACCACACTGCAAACCCCTTCGTGCCGATCACGAGTCCGCAAAATCTTCCCAACACAAGTGTATAGACCAAAGTGGGCATCTCATGTGAATATTGTCAAAAAACAATCGGATGTAAGGGGCCTAAGATGTTCATACGACTGATGTTTCGGGCGGAACCTATCCGGCTTCATCTTTAAGATCACATGAATATACATGTCGCTACCATGTCTCCCAGGTTTCAGCGACTGCTATTGAGTAGGCACTTTTCTCATTTATGCGCTACAGTAACCATGGCTAGCCCCCGGCTCACGAACCAAGAATTACTCTTGATTGTCGCTCATTTCATCTAGCCATATACCACTTGATCAACTCGATCCTTTACATAAGATGTATCTAGGTATGCCCCCGCATACTAAGGATCACTACGAAAAAATTCAGGGTTAGATCGGAATACCACGGTCCTATGACATGTAGCGTCTGTGCATAAATTGCAACCATCAACCTGTGCTCCGAAATTCAAGTCAAATCAGTCGCTCAGACCTCCTCCGAGCGTTATCAGCAAAGCTTGACTAGCCACGCGACCAGTGCAGAACGACCGCCTACTTCTCTTAGACCAACCTCGCCACCTACTACCATTCATCAGATCCGAAAGTAGGGTCCATTTGCAAATTATTATCGGCTGACCGATTCTGGCTGACATCGGCCGATCCAACGACTCATCTAAACTCAAAGGTCTTTCTTACTCTGGCCTCTACCCACAGTCTACTACATCCAAATACTCGAAAGCTTCTATGGTAAAATCATTACCCTCTTCACCCTTTTATCCATAAACAATCTTCATGCTTTCTCTATAACACATGAGCTTCAAACTGTGTGTGTACCACAGAAAGAGATGCGATTCCTTTTGCCCCAACAGACAAGCCTAACTTCAAAAGCCTTTAACTAGCGCCTCACTTAAACTCACCCATTCGAGCCTTACTCCCATCAACCTGGGTAGATGTCAGATGAAAAGAGACGCACCATGAGACGTGCCAAACGAATTGCCACGTGTGATGACCATGCTTACCTAAGACTTACTAGGTGACTACCGTATGATATATGGCTCCACCCAGAATTATTCATCTAAAAGTTGTTACATTTATTCTTCTAAATATCCCATATCTGTGATAATTAGTTATCCATATTTTGTCCTCTTGTATAGAAACATTCCATTTAAGTCTTTTCGCGCCCTGAGTAACGCGAGCACGCGCTAAATCAGCAACATGGACCTTCCCCGATATGAAGAATTGGAGCATCGGGACTATTATCGCAAAAGTCATTCATCACAATTTTAGACACCCACATAGAAATTTTCTGACATTTTTTACACATCTAAGCCAACTGTTCTTTATGTTACACACAAATGATTGACTTGAGGGTGACTTTATCTTGACACTCTTCGGAGCCAAGTCATTGAAATCGAGTTATCAAGCCATTTGTAAGTTATGAAACCAAGTGAGACAGTGATGACAGGACATGAGGATCCACAATTCCATGCAGTGTTTCGCTAAAATCTATCTGGAAAAGAAGCTCGATGATTCGCTGCCTTAGGATAGATAATACCACTCGTGTATTCAAGACGACCTTTTTTTTTTTTTTTTGAGTCATTTAATGTGTATTCAGCTATTTAGCTATGACACATGACCGGCGCTATGTATACATGTGGGATGACTCTTTTGACGTTAGAGACACTCATACTCTGGATTTCATTTGAAAATACCACTATGAGGTATGTTTGCTTACACAAACAGTCAACCCTCCTCCGTAAGTACCCACCAACGGGACACTCAAAACCTTTGGTTATCCAAGCATGCCTTAGTCATCCATGTACACCAGCCCCGCGAGAAATGTGGTTGTGTTTTGCTGGATTTGAACCAGCGATCTACTGTCTCAAGTGGGATATGTGTCCAAGCTATCCAGACTCTACTTGGCAGACCGGCTAAGATGATGTACCACCGCACCATCCAACCATGGCAGTTTTTATAGTGTCGCCTGCACTCCAAGACAACCATTCTATTGCTCTGTCTACTACCCTCAATTGTATTATGGTTTTAATAGCAGCACTCTATATACTGCAACAATACGTACCTTTCTGTCGCAAAATCAGATAGATGTTGAAATATCAAACAGCAATAATGACTTTGCTGATATGATAAACCAAATCTCTCCCATTCTCTAGCCAAATGAAATGAGAGTACAGCACAAGCTCAATCCTTAGGATTTATTAGTATCTCGGCTATGCAGGATTCTTGCTTTGTAATGGCAGTGGCTCATGCTGCATAGTCATGTGCCCAAAATATATTTTGTAGAGATATTGATAAATATATCGTGCTCATATTGATAAGCATAGCTATTTGTCTCCTGTCATGCCAGGCGGTGCAAGCTCGGAAAATCAAAATCAAGATGTTGCAAATTACTTGACAGCCTTCAGGAGATTTCGTGTCTATACCCTCACTGACTCGTCTTGAAAGTAGAGACTATTTGCTCCTCAGTAATATGACTACTCGATCAGACTTTGCTTCTAAAAATCAGGCCTTTGAACTTAAACACACCTCCATTAAATCATCCATAGTTTTTAAGAATCGTATCAAAAGCTACTGGGTTGAAATTTCTTGGGTGTAGAAGTCCAACCTCGATAGTTTTAACATCAGCTTAAGTCAATTTGGTCAACAGGAAGCAAAACCTCAGCTTCAGGTTTACCTTGAATATCATGCATAATAAAACTGCCTAGAGAGGATGATCAAGCGGCTGAGGCCCGATATGCTCTGGTCTCGGTTTCATGACTGTAAACCTGGTTGCTGTGTCTTTGGTATGAATCCATGTCAAATTCGGACACTTTTCTTAAAGACACACATTGCGTCTTTCCTGGCCCCCTCATCTTTAGATTTACCCTACCCGAAACCCTTGTATTCTTATACGACTTTTTTTCTAGTTGTAGATTTGGCGTTCTAAATCCACCATGTCCCTTTATTTGACCCTCGATACTATACCTCATACTCTTAGACTCGGTAGAGGCTCAACTAATATCCTAATAAAATTTGAGAAATAATCCACTCAATTCTGTGTACTGGTGAGAACATTTGCTAATGGATTATCAAGCAACGGCAAAGCTAGAAATCACGTGGCCCTGACCACTCGCTTGGAGGCTAACATGGCTCACTATACCAACTGCTAGACTTCGCCCGGGAACAGATCTGTCCAAAAATCGCTATTTCCTTTACAAACAGATAATGTTGTGCGAAGAGGGAAATTAGGATGAAGATCGTTTCGAATGCAAGGCCATGGGGTGTAGAAGATTTTTAGCAGGTTGAGATCGAAATGGTGCCATTCATCATGTTTCTGACGGGCCGTATTTATTCAGATAGTTACCATAGACAGGGCTGAAGGTTTCCGGTCTGCCCATGGAACGCAGATGAGAACAATCTTATTTGACAATCCTTGCTTGGAGAGGAAATACTGCTGGCTATGTCAAGAACTCTAAATAGATCCCTCGCTATGCTTCCCCTCTTTCGCCATTAGGGCTTGACCCCCAGCGTCAACTAGCATATAGTTGTAATATTCAAATTAAAAAATTAACCTGTAAATTAAAGAGCTATTTGGGTAGATTTCTAAATAGTCTTTCATGCTCTAGGACTCAGTAGAGACTTGGATTTAACCCAA